CCCGGTGAGCAATGCAGACCAGAACTCTTGAAGTCGTAGCAGAGATCGGCACTTGTAAAGATGGCAGGCATGCCTCGTCTGCACAGACCAGCCACACTCTCTCCTCTCGGGCTACAGCCAGGCGCGACCCTGTCCGGGAAAGCTCTTCGAGGCATCGAGCCTCGCCATAAGGGCCTTCAACCAGGAGAGCCTCCTCTCCTCCCCTCCCCTCCCCTCCCCTCCCTTGACGCTCCCCAGAGGTTGCGAGCCCCTGACCCTGGGCCTTCCCCCAGAGAGAGCAAAACATTGCGCGTGCCTGTCCCATCCTAGCAGGGCTCCGGGTGATCCGCCCCCCAATTCACCCACGTGATCGCTTCACTGATGACGGCGGAGACTTTTCCTTGCTCTGTTTCCAGCCTGTGGCGTTCCGCCTCGCATCATCACCCAAGTCCACCAAGCTTCCGCCCGGTGAGCAATGGCGACCGCCACCTTGAAGTCGGCGCAGGATCGGCATTGGTAAAGATGGGCCCTCGGCCTCGCCCGCACAGTCCAGACACACTCCCCCCGCTCGGGCTACAGCCAGGCGCGACCCTGGCCGGGAAAGCTCTCCGAGGCATCGAACCTCGCCATAAGGGCCTTCAACCCTGAGAGCCGCCTCTCCTCCCCTCCCCTCCCCTCCCCTCCCCTCCCCTCCCATCCCTTGACGCTCCCCAGAGGTTGCGAGCCCCTGACCCTGGGCCTTCCCCCAGAGAGAGCAAAACATTGCGCGTGCCTGTCCCATCCTAGCAGGGCTCCGGGTGATCCGCCCCCCAATTCACCCACGTGATCGCTTCACTGATGACGGCGGAGACTTTTCCTTGCTCTGTTTCCAGCCTGTGGCGTTCCGCCTCGCATCATCACCCAAGTCCACCAAGCTTCCGCCCGGTGAGCAATGGCGACCGCCACCTTGAAGTCGGCGCAGGATCGGCATTGGTAAAGATGGGCCCTCGGCCTCGCCCGCACAGTCCAGACACACTCCCCCCGCTCGGGCTACAGCCAGGCGCGACCCTGGCCGGGAAAGCTCTCCGAGGCATCGAACCTCGCCATAAGGGCCTTCAACCCTGAGAGCCGCCTCTCCTCCCCTCCCCTCCCCTCCCTTGCCGCAGGTGAGGGGGAGGGAGGGCAAAAGCTTTCCATATTATTGGGC